GGAGTCGGAGTCGGAGTCGTCAAAAAATCCGCCGACTCCGACTCCTTTTTACTTACCAACTTGTTATGTATATAAAACGGAAAAGTATTGGAATCGTGTCAAATTTGACCCTCAAAGTTTTTTTTTTTTTTTTTTGCAAATCTACACGTTTGGAGACCTCCCGAACCCCTCAAAAAAGTCAATAAAAGGGAAAAAATTGTGTGTGTTTGTTGACGTCTAATTTGTTTGATTTCTTTATTTTCTGTTCTGAGATATTAAACAATATCTCAGAACGGGTAAAGTTTAAAAAACGAAATGTAGCACTGTAGCTTGCGTATAAAGGGGCATTAATACTATTAAATTTTGGTTCTCAATTAAACGGTCGACAGGGTGAAGACATAAAAGTGGTCATGTGTCATATCTCTTAATGAATATTTTACTCGTTATTAGCGTACAAAATTTTAAAAAATAAAATAAAACTCGTCTCTACCCTCAAAGTAAGATTTTTTGTCATTTTATAATAGTACAGTAAAACCCGTTAAGATGCTCTCGCCTAAGATGTAAGAATGTGTATGGGGACACGATTTAGTTCAACCACTTTGACGCTTAATAACTAACTCCTGTATTAAACCATCTGACTCCGATTCTGATTACTCTGAAAACAGAAATTATTAGGCTTCAAACAGGGTGAACAAAATCATGCCCCCCACCAGTGGCGTGGGTGTCATCAGCCCGGGGCATAGGAAAATTTCGCCGCCCCCTTATTTAGGTATCTCAATTTAAAAGACTAAAATTCAGTTTCGTCACAGAATAAGTAATGAAAAATTCCTTGCTAGTGTTTCCACCTTTTTAAAATCGCTGACCCGGACGGCAGGTGAGGTTTCTTCGAACAGAAGTTCCTGACGCATGCGTAATGTCATTTTGCAATGCGAAGAATAACGTGCAGTGCATACCGGTTCTAAATCAGTTTCAGTTAGGGACTAGAGAGACTTGGGTAGGAGTAACGTAAGTAACCTAAATGACTTAGCTCTATTAAATATTGGAGATGTGTGTGAATACGAATCGTACAAGCAAAGAAAAAAAAGGTCGACAGGTCGCGCACGATATCCCCGGACAAAATTAATAGTTGACCCGGACTGTCCGGGTGAAAACCGGACGGGTGGTAACACTATTCCGTGCTCATTTCAATCGGTCTGAATCGTAGGTGCGACAAAAATATGAAATAAAATGGTTCAAATTTTTACAAAATATTATTATTACTTATTATGAAATTTTGCCGCCCCTAAAACTGACGCCCGGGGCGGGCCACCCCCACCACGCTACGCCACTGCCCCCCACACAGTCTAACATCTACACATATAGAAAAAACCTCGAAACATTTGCTTAATTAACTCGAAATTTCAAGGTGTTCTAGTCCAAAAATGTAAAAATTTGGGAGAGGTCATTTTTTGACCGAGCGCTACACTTTGTTATATATCCTCTGTTATATATAACAGCCGAAAAAGTAAAAATTATCGAATACATATTTATATATTACTTAGAGGAGACTTTTAGCTTTGAAATAAAAAGTTCTATATTTATTAGAACTCTTTTTATTAAATATTTTATTCTGAGGTCACGTGATGACATCAGAATTTCCGGGTATCTTTCGGTAACAAGTCCGCCCCTGGTCGGAGTCGGAGTCGGTAGATTTTTACGCGACTCCACAGCCCTGTTTTAAACTTAAATATTATCTAATTACTAAGTTAGAAAATCAAAACCGGTTGCAGAATCGAACTCGCAATTACTTCCCGCTTTAAACTAAATTTTAAATGATGATATTTTTTAAAATTCATTTAACGGCGTAAAAATAAAAATATCCTCGAATATGTGCAAAGTATAGAAATGAAAAGATTTGATTTTCTGCACCATTTTCTCAATGTTGCAATTTAATTCGAACGAGGAAACGAATGTAATCATCAGATTTTACGTACTGAAACAGTTTTCAATTTCTTCCAAGATCTTCATCGATCTTTCTCCTTCCGCCATGTTTATGGCAATTCCACATTTTCCGAATCTTCCCGTGCGGCCAATTCTATGAAGATAAGTCTCGCAATCCGCATTGCCTTTCTGATCGACTGGCAAATCAAAGTTTACCACTAAAGTAACTTGTTCGATATCGATACCTATGGAAAAGTTTGCATTTTGTTAATGCAATTCTCATTAATTAACCAGAAGAAACAGAAAAAAGATGCTTCCATACCTCTTGCACAAACATTGGTTGTAATAAGGACCTTTTCTTTTCCATCTCTAAACCTGTTGAGAACGGCAATTCGCTGTTCGATCGACAAGTCGCCAGATAAAAGGGCAACTGCGTGTCCTTCTCTTGTCATTTTCTCGGCTAGCCAAGATGCAGTAAGTCTTGTCTGAAATATTTGAAGTTTTTAATTTAAAATTTAAAGTTTTTACCATAAAAAATTAAACATTTAATCGACATTTTCTCATTTCTTTGCCTCTTATGTCTTAATAATAAATAATGCAGTCATGTTCTAAAGCATAAGAAACAATGCTAATAATTAAGTACAGAAAGTTGTTAAATAACAGCTAAATTCCCTTCTAATTTTTCACCAATTTAGTATCCTTATAGCCATTGGCAATTACCGATTTAGAACATACATTAATTAATAAATAAATAAAATTTACCTGGCAAAATATAATAGCCTGGCCAATAGATAAAACTCCGTAAATATTTGCTAAGGCAGTGAATTTATCATCGGGATTTCTGCACACCACGTAATACTGTTTGATGTTCTCCAGATTTTCGTCTTCTTTCTTCAGCCGCAAAACAACCGGATTAGGCACAATAATTTTGGCAAAATCCATAACTTCGTCGGTGTAAGTTGCAGAAAACATCATCATCTGGCACTCGGCAGAAAGTTGTCTGTTAAAGAGATAAGCCATTGATTCTCGGATCAATCAATCGCGTAAAATATTTTTAAATATGTCTAGTAATGTTCTAGGTGAGAATGTTTTTAATTTTAGGCGGAAGGATTTCGTTAAAATAACGTAACTTACTTGTGAATTCGGATCGATTGATTGTGACGATTTTGGTTGTCGATCAGGATATCCGCTTCATCCAGTACAAACGCCTTAATTTTCTTGACGTCGAAGGATTTGAATTTTAAGACCCAATCTAAAACTTTTCCGGGAGTTCCGATGATAACTTGCTCCGATATCTTTTCACCTCTAGCGACTAAAACAGAAAGTAAGCAATTTTTTACAATGGAGAAAATATCGTGACTCGGAACTGAAAGTAGTGTATGGAAACGATATGTGACCAAACAGTCTCTTGTCACAAGCCACAAGCGACTCTTCTACAACCATACAGTGACAGCCTACTTATGCAATTTCTTTTTGTAAACTTAAACTTTAAATGTATATAATACTGTTTTAATAGTGAGCAGCATACATCGCTCGTATAGAGGAAAACACATGTGTGAAGCACGAATAAGAGGCTGTTTGATGGATCACTACCGAAACAAAGATGATAATTCTAAAATAAGACTTACGTGTTTCTCCTCTGACTGCAAGACGAATTCCAATCTCTGAACAGAATTTAGCCATTTGCTTTGCCACAAATCCGGTCTGCTCTGCTAACTCGTAGGTTGGCGAGAGGATTAAGACCTAATTCCGAAATAAAATTAATTAATGTATAAAC